GAAGAAGATGGACGAGATAATGGGAAGGAGAAGCGAGGTAGTTAATGGTGCTGAGAAGAGGAAGCAAAAATCTAAAACTCCAACACCTCCTGGCAGTATAAATATGCCTCAGTTGTTTGTGCTTAAACAAAACGTTCGGAAGTCGCGAGTAAGGTTAGAACCCCATCAGGCAAACCACGCGCATTCAAACCGCCTCCAATTCACTTGAAAGTGAATGAGAATCTCGTCGATTAGAGATGTTGGAAGGATAGTGCTTCCGCTCCTTGGCCGGATAATTGTGAGGTTATGACAATGAGCGACCAAAACAATAATCCTGCTTCTAGCCGATCATGATTAGCAACGGTACCGAGGTTAAAACGTGGTAAAAATTGATCTCGAACGGCCTTCTAGTCCTGCGACCCTTTGCCCGTGGACCTAACGCATCAGACCAAGCATATGCCCACATTCAAGTCAGTCGAGATCCCTGGAATGGGTGTGAGAGTATTCGGAAGACAGAACTATGAAAATCTCGTCGGGTCAATGCTTCGATATAAGTCTGCGACTAGAACTGTTTGTAGGATAATGCTGCGGTTCCGTTCGCCGATAGGCTCAGGAAAAGTACCTGGCAAATACCAGCTAACAAACCGAGGTTTTTCGGGAATAAACTATCAGAATGACATCCTGCTTGTACCTGACCACGACTAGTAACGGCGCCAAGGTTAAAGCGTACTGAAAGCTGACCTCGAACTGCCTTCTGGTCCTGCGCTTTTTCGCCCGTTAGGCTGACTCACCGAGCGGGAGTCTGTGGCCGATCGACTACGCAAAGGAAGGTAGGGACTTTTTACGCAACTTAAACTGAAAAGGTAGTGGGAATTTTAAAGGATCTAAATCGAACGACATTGCTCTACTAGTATCAAGCTTTCCTGATGTGCGGTCTATAATGTCACGGCCGAATGAAGTCACGAGATCTATTGATTATTTCATAAATACTTGAAGGACCAAAGCATTTTTTATCTGCGTCATTGACCAAAGAAAGGCACCTCCGAGAATGGGAACCACAGCAGACGCGTCTTCGACCGCGTTCCCACCCGCCCTCAGG